CTCCCGCCGCGGAGCACAGGCTCCGGACGCGCAGGTCCAGTGGCCATGGTCCATGGGCCCAGCCGCGCCGCAGCACGTGGGATCCTCCCGGACCGGGGCATGAACCTGCATCGGTCGCTGGACTCCCAACCACTGCGCCACCAGGGAAGCCCGGGTAGGGGCTTTTTATTTGGGTCATTTTTCATGTCCTTTATAACATTCTTCATATAATTATCTCTTCAGAAGTTGCTCACATCATTTAAAAAATTTACTCCTAGGAACATTATTTTATTTGCTGCTTTTGCGAATGAGGTTTAAAAAAAAAATCTGCTTCACTTCTTTTTTCTTTAGGTTTGCTAATATTTTGCTGAGGATTTTTGCATCAGTATTTAGGAGTGAGACTAGCTTGCAATTTTCCTTGCCTATAATGCCATTGTAATGTGTTGGTCTCTAAATTATTCTCTTGAAGTGTTTGTTTAAGATTGTAAAGTTGATCCCTCAAAGTTTGGTTTAGCTATTGGACTCATTTATCCTTGAGTTTTATTTGTGGGAAGTCTTTAATGATGAATTCTATTTTTTAAAAATGCCTATGAGATTATTCAGTTTTTTCTGTTTATTTTCATATCAGTTTTGGTAAGTTTTGTTTTTCTCAGAATTGGCCCATTTCAAATTTGCCTATTTTCAAATTTATTTTTAAAAAACTGTTCAGCTTAGGGCTTCCCTGGTGGCGCAGTGGTTGAGAGTCCGCCCGCTGATGCAGGGGACACGGGTTCGTGCCCCGGTCCGGGAAGATCCCACATGCCGCAGAGCGGCTGGGCCCGTGAGCCATGGCCGCTGAGACTGTGCGTCCGGAGCCTGTGCTCCGCAATGGGAGAGGGCACAACAGTGAGAGGCCCGTGTACCGCAAAAAAAAAAAAAAAAAAAAAAAAAAAAATTTGTTCATCTTAAACAATATTTTTATTGTTTGTTGCATATGTACTGATGTTCTTGTCTATGTTCTTGACCTTGGTACATTGTCAGCCCACCACCTTTTTTTCTTTTTCAGTATCAGCAATGTTTTACACATCTTATTATTCTTTTTATTTTTATTTTTTATTTTTTTTAACATCTTTATTGGGGTATAATTGCTTTACAATGGTGTGTTAGTTTCTGCTTTATAACAGAGTGAGTCAGTTATACATATATATATGTTCCCATATCTCTTCCCTCTTTGTCTCCCTCCCTCCCACCCTCCCTATCCCACCCCTCCAGACAGCCACAAAGAACCGAGCCGGTTTCCCTGTGCCATGCGGCTGCTTCCCACTGGCTATCTACCTTACGTTTGTTAGTATATATATGTCCATGTCTCTCTCTCGCCCTAACACACCTCACCCTTCCCCCTCCCCATATCCTCAAGTCTGTTCTCCAGTAGGTCTCTGTCTTTATTCCTGTTTTACCCCTAGGTTCTTCATAACATTTTTTTTTCTTAAATTCCATATATATGTGTTAGCATACGGTATTTGTCCTTCTCTTTCTGACTTACTTCACTCTGTATGACAGACTCTAGATCTATCCACCTCATTACAAATAGCTCAATTTCGTTTCTTTTTATGGCTGAGTAATATTCCATTGTATATATGTGCCACATCTTCTTTATCCATTCATCCGACGACGGGCACTTAGGTTGTTTCCATCTCCGGGCTATTGTAAATAGAGCTGCAATGAACATTTTGGTACATGACTCTTTCTGAATTCTGGTTTCCTCAGGGTATATACCTAGTAGTGGGATTGCTGGGTCATATGGTAGTTCTATTTGTAGTTTTTTAAGGAACCTCCATACTGTTCTCCATAGTGGCTGAACCAATTCACATTCCCACCAGCAGTGCAAGAGTGTTCCCTTTTCTCCACACCCTCTCCAGCATTTATTGTTTCTAGATTTTTTGATGATGGCCATTCTGACTGGTGTGAGATGATATCTCATTGTAGTTTTGATTTGCATTTCTCTAATGATTAATGATGTTGAGCATTCTTTCATGTGTTTGTTGGCAGTCTGTATATCTTCTTTGGAGAAATGTCTATTTAGGTCTTCTGCCCATTTTTGGATTGGGTTGTTTATTTTTTTGTTATTGAGCTGCATGAGCTGCCTGTAAATTTTAGAGATTAATCCTTTGTCAGTTGATTCATTTGCAAATATTTTCTCCCATTCTGAGGGCTGTCTTTTGGTCTTGTTTATGGTTTCCTTTGCTGTGCAAAAGCTTTGAAGTTTCATTAGGTCCCATTTGTTTATTTTTGTTTTTATCTCCATTACTCTAGGAGATGGGTCAAGAAGGATCTTGCTGTGATTTATGTCATAGAGTGTTCTGCCTATGTTTTCCTCTAAGAGTTTGATAGTTTCTGGCCTTACATTTAGGTCTTTAATCCATTTTGAGCTTATTTTTGTGTATGGTGTTAGGGAGTGATCTAATCTCATACTTTTACATGTACCTATCCAATTTTCCCAGCACCACTTATTGAAGAGGCTGTCCTTTCTCCACTGTATATTCCTGCCACCTTTATCAAAGATAAGGTGACCATATGTGCATGGGTTTATCTCTGGGCTTTCTATCCTATTATTCTTTTTAAAAACTAACTCTGGTTCTGTTGATCTTCTCTTTATATACTTATTTTTGCTTTATTAACTTTTGCTTTTACTTTTATTATTTAATTTCTTTTTTCTTTGTGTTTAATTGGCTTTTTATCTTGATGTGAAGTTTATATAATTCATTTTCAGCCTTTCTTCTTTTCTAATACATGTATTTAATTATATACATTTTTTACAGTACGTTTTAGCTTCATTTCACAAGTTTTGACAATAATATTTTATTATCATTTATTCAATTTTCCAGATTTCATTAAGTTTTCTTATTTGATCCAGGGATTTCTTAGTAGTAGATTTCTTTATTGTCTAATGTATTAGGGGATCTCTTTTATTTTTTTTTCTGATTTCTAGCCTATATTCTTATTCAAAATTATAGTGCTTTGAAATGTTTTGAGACTTGAGTTTTGTGGGGCTTTTTTTTTTTTTAAGATGTTGGGGGTAGGAGTTTATTAATTTATTTATTTAGTTTTGCTGTGTTGGGTCTTCGTTTCTGTGTGAGGGCTTTCTCTAGCTGTGGCAAGCGGGGGCTACTCTTCATCGCTGTGCGCAGGCCTCTCACTATCACGGCCTCTCTTGTTGTGGACCACAGGCTCCAGACGCGCAGGCTCAGTAGTTGTGGCTCACGGGCCCAGTTGCTCCACAGCATGTGGGATCTTCCCAGACCAGGGCTCAAACCCGTGTCCCCTGCATTGGCAGGTGGATTCTCAACCACTGCGCCACCAGGGAAGCCTGAGTTCTGTGGGACTATTTTAATATATGTTCTATTCCTTCCTTCTCTCATTCTTAGACTCTAGTTGCACAGATGTTAGCTAATTTTACTGTACCTCTAGTCTCTTCTGTCCTTTGTTTTTCTTTCTCTTCTTCTTGTCTCAGTTTGATATAGTTTCTTCTAATTATTCCTTTTAAGTGTGTTTATTAACCTTCAGTTAAATGTATCTTCCAATTTTTAAATTTCCGATATATTTTTTTAGGTCCAGAATTTCCTTAAAATTTCTTTTTTCCATTTTACTGTCAACCATTCAATCTTATCTTTAACTTATTTGAACACACCAAGCTTAGTTACTTAAAAATTGCTGTGGGTAATTCCATTACCAGTATGGATTTGTTTCTATTTTCTTTTCTGTTTTTTCTCTTGGTTTTCTATCATGTTGTTTTGTCCACTCCCCTGTGTTTATGATGAGTGTGACACATTTAATATCAAGAAAATGTAGAGGTAATTTAAAGTTAAGAAAATGTTCTCTTCATCCAAAGTTTATTTTGCATCTGTCCTGTAGCTAGAGACACTGGCAATCCTCATTTGTCTTAATCTGATTATAGATTGAGAAGACTAGAGATAAAATTAAGTCTATCTCCCAGTCCACTGGTGCTTCTTCTCTGTAGCTATTCATAATTGTCATGCATGGCCTCAGGGAGGGTTGTGAAGGCACCCTCTTTGTTGTGCTGTATTACCCTAGCTCTATGAATCTAGCAAAAGCTTTGCTGAACTTCTTAGCACCTTCTAAAGTTGACAGATGCATCAAATGCCAAGCTTACTTCTCTGTCTTCACTTCTTTTCCAAATCTTAGCTAATAACATAATTCTTCACTGCTTTTTTTTTCTCTCCAATACTTTCAAATATATCTGTTTTACAGTTTATCCTGTGTTTCTAATTTTTCTTATTGAAAGAATTGGCCTGATGGCTAATGGTCTATTCTGCCACTTAGGCAAAATAGACCATTTTAATCCTATTCAATTAAATAGGATTTAATCCTATTTAATCCTCTCATGTTTCAATTTCTTTCTTTGTACACTGTTTTCTGAATTAATTTCTCATTTATATCTTCAAATTCATGGGTTGGCAAACTATGGCCTATGTGCCAGCCATCTATTTTTGTAGAAAAACTTCTACTGGAACACTGCCATGCGCATTTGTTTAAATATTGTTTGTGGCTGCTTTTGCCTTACATTGGCAAAGTTGAGTCATTGTGGTAGAGACCTTATGACCCACTTAGCCTAAAATTTTTACTATCTGTTATTAAGAAAAAGTGTGCTGATCCCTGTTCTAATTCATGAATTTTTCTCTATTTTTTAATCCAGTTTGTTTATTTTTTCTACTGACCTTAAAAAATTAATGATATTTTAAATATTTAAATTATCTATTTTTTCATATCTACCTATATTTTTTATATATATATGCATATATATGTATATATGTGTATGTATTGTGTATTTTATATATATGTGTGTATATATATATATATACACACACACATATATATATACATATCTTTATAATCCAAATCCAAATAACATGCTTTAAGTGGGCGAGAGGAAAAAATAACTCACTGGAACTAGTATAGCAGAAACCACAATGCTATACTACTCTCTCAAACTATTAATTTTTTTTCTCACTAGATACAGAGCAATGGCAGTGACAACCACACTGACATGGAATGAGGAAAAGTATCTGCAAAAGCTGCTTGGAAATGTTTCTTTGAGACTTCTTTATAAGTCTAAGTGTCCACGGAAACAGAATTAGAAATATGCATAATAGGTGCATTCGTCAGGGATCCACTATAACAATGATTTACCGTCCCAAGAATATTTTTGGTATCTTTATGCTTGGGCATTATCCTGAAATGTCTGAAAGTTTTAGACAGCCAAATACTTCCTTCTGTCTTTCATTTCAAAAGAATAAACAATGGAAATGATGGCTGCATTTTTAAATTCAACATCGGAAATTAGTGATAACCAACTGGTATTTCAGTTCTCTATTTCTCCCTATCAGTATTTGTCTCTGGATTTATACAATAGAATCATTGTTATACCTAAACTTTTTGTGGAAAAATTAGGACTAAAAACTGACAGGCTCCTGATTTTTGGAATGTGAAGTTTTTCAAGTGGAAGGTATGTTAAATTAGAAAATCCTACATTCTGGTTCTAGTCTTTGTGTTTGGTAGGTCATAATTAATCTACGTGAACAAGGAAAAAGGAGATAGACAATTGAATTTCATGCCACAAAATTTTTTATAAGCTCAAAAATGAAACCTGGAAGGCCTAAAGGTTATGGGGTTATTACACAGAAAGAATAGGCAGCTTTGATCAAAGTAAGTTGAGAAGTGTGAGTGAAGAGATGGAGATGGAGATGGAGAGAGAGAAAGGGTGGGGGGAAGGCCTCAGTATTTTGACAATTGACACCTATGGGGTCAGCTTGAGGACCTCTAGGCATAATTATATGAGTTTGCAGAGTGACAATGTACAAAGAAGAAAATTTTAGCTACTCTTCATCTTGTTATGCTGCCGACCCTAGCTCCTAACCCAACAGCTCAGCTGGGTTATGCAAGAAGACTCAATACCCTATTTAGAAGGTAGACTTGGCCACACTAAACCAGACAAGTTTAAACATTATTATGCTATGTTTATTTCCTTTAGGAATTAAGGATGATGCAGGCTACATAAACAGGATAATAAGAGCCACACAGTAAGTTAGTTTCTTGGACTATCTATTACTCACCAACTGTATAAATGGCACCGACAAATAGTAAAATTAAAAACTGTATCACTTGGAGTGATAGAAATCGGTTATAGTGTTCCTGACATAATGTGTTCAAGACAATTTAGAACAGAAACAAAAACAAAACCACTACCAACTGAAACTTTTAAGATCCACCTGATGACAATTTGACTTCATGTTTCACTTTGGCCCTGTTACATTCAAAGTTTCCCAGACAGAGTCGAGATGACCATTTTAGATAATTCCTCTGAATCCTTTCCTTGAGAATAAAGTTTTTGGGGAACCTCGAAAAATTTTAAAAACAAAGTCCCTTCTCCCCAGTTTATAGATAAACACCTGCATTGCATATATTTTATTTTTATTTCTCCTTAATATAACCTTTTTACTGAAAATTCATCTTCAGTGTTCCTGTTATTTCTTATTAGATTTATATGGTCTAAGGCTAATAGTTTAGCAATGATTTGGTTGCTGGCTAATGTTTAACTTAGTCAGATATAGATAAGTGCAGTTTCTTCAAGCACAAAATGTATAACCTTAGACCCTTTCAAGTCATATGATAGCTGTTAATATCAAAATAATAAGTAAGCATTAAACCATACTTTTCAGAGGGAAGAAAAGCACCAGGAGAATTGTATTCTTCCTTATGGAAATGTGCCTGTTGTATTTAACTACTTCATTTTTACAGGCACAGAAATAGTCTCCTAGCAGACCTCAGAGCCTACAGGCCCTATGCAGACTTGGTTTCAGAAATTCGTATTCTCTTGTTGGGTCCAGTGGGGTTCGGAAAGTCCAGTTTTTTCAATTCAGTGAAGTCCATTTTCCAAGGCCATTTGACTCACCAAGCCATAGTGGGGTCTGATGTCACCAGCATTACTGAACAGGTAAGTTATTTCAGGATTTCCTGAGAATTTTGTTTTATGGATTACAATTATTATTTTATAAGAAATAACCATGAGAAGCAAAACAGTGATTAAAACCTTCACAGGGGTAAATCAATCTATCAATACTCCTATAAAGACTATCTTACTTGTAAATAAATAGATTTAAGGAAATAAGTATAATACTAACACCATTTTTAAAAATGTTACCTGAAAGACCTACCAATTACAGTGCAATATTTATCTAGAAACTTCCATTCTGTGCTTGTCAATGTTATCATACAAACAAAAAGAATAAAGGGAATTAATAGAAAAGTTCATAATCAAGCTGTGTTTTTCTATGTTTGCTACAGTCTAATATTGTTATCTTCTGATTGGGAATATGTTGTATGTTGTCAATGCATAATTTAGCATAAGACAGCAATAGCTCATTTTAGTTTTGTGTCACATTCAATAACTGAAAGCATTTTCTAGGACTTTCAAGAATCACATCTTACTTTTTGATGTTGGCTATATTCTATCCACTTGAGTGGCTTTATTATGATACATCAGCCTAGCCTTAGGAGCCAAGGCAAGATACCACAACAGCAAATCAGTACATTAAGCATTGACTGAAATGTTTATGTTTGCTAAATACTGTGTTGCAATAGAGACCAAAGTACAAATAATACTTGGTCCCTTTACTGAGGAATCTCAGGGACCAATGCAGGTAATAAACAAATAAGTAGTATTCAATGTGATAGATGCTATAATAGCGGTACTCATCAGGACAGAATTTCTCTGCCTTCTTTTTACGTTGAAAACTCCAAAGGCATTGCTTTAAGAGAAGATATAAGTCCTGAATTCCAAATAGAATGCAAATACTATATACACTGAAGGAAAACAGGACAGAGTATTTTGTGAAGGAAATGGAATATTTTATTGCTCAGACCCTTCTTTCTGAAGAACTGAAGTAAAGGAAACAGGTTAATGGTTAATGGCACTATGAATGTACCTATTGATCTTGAAATTTTATAATGTACTTTAAGTATCTAACTCTAATGCTTCATGTAATTCCTTTCATGTTGAGGTACCAGTAAACCCCATTCACTTAGATCAAAATCTCCAGTGGGACTGCTCCTAGGCATTTCATGGAGCAATGGGAGCTTTGACTCCATCACAAATTACAATAGGTTGAGATTCTTGGGAGAACTGAATAAGTGATTGGTTGGGCTGTTGAGCAGGGAAAGAAAATAACCTCTAATTTAAGATATTAGTCATTGTTCTGCCGAGATGTGGCATGGCTTTAACTCCTGATCTGAAGAGTCTTGTCTTGAGTGGTACAGACTGTCGAATACCAGTCGTTCGGATAAATTTGGAAAAGGAGTAAACTCGTGTATATTGGTCTCCACTAACTCACATCAGGTTGAAAGGATCGTTGACAAAAGAAAAAACAAAAAAACGGAAGACAGAATATTTGGTTCGGTGGACGGGCTACGACAGTGAGGATGACACCTCGGAGCTGGAGCAGCACCTGGTGAACCGAGAGGAGTATATCCACAATTTTAACAGGCTCCACACCAAGAAGCAGAAGGAGGGCACCTTCACCAGAACCAATCGGACCTCCCTGAACAATGCCAGGAAACAGTTTTCCAGACCCACCAACAGTATCTTTTCCAAGGCCTCTCCTAAATCACTAGCGGTCGGCAAAGAGCACGAGCCCAAGAACAGCCCGCTGTTTGCCGCCAGCCAGAAGTGCAGGAAGAACCCAGCCCCGTCCCTCTCGAACCGGAAGATCATGGACCTGGCCACGGCAGGTATAAAGATCCTCGTGCCCAAGAGCCCTATCAAAAGCAGGACTGCGGGGGACGGCTTTCAGAACGAGCGCCCCGAGAAACTGGACCCTGCCGAGCAAGGGCAGGAGGACATGGTGGCGCTGGAGGTGGCGGCCACAAAGCCGGTTGGGGCTCTGCCGGGCCCCGGCGCCGAGCGGCCGCGGATGTGGGGGCCGGTCCGGGATACACCCGCTGGTGCCTCAGGTGTCCAGCCCCCTGACCGCGGCCACGACCACGGGGCTAGCTGTGAAGGGGAAAGGTTCCTCCCCGTTCACGGACGCGCTGACGGCCAACAAGACCACCAACCTGCAGACGTCGGTCACACGAGTGACAGCCGGGAGGAGGAAATTCATCGACGACGGACGAGACCAGCCCTTCGACCAGCGGCAGTGAGGCAGACGGAAAGCACCTACAGGTACAGGGACATCGTCGTCCGGAAGCAGGAAGGCTTCACCCACATCCTGCTGTCCACGAAGTCGTCCGAGAACAACTCACTCAACCCAGAGGTGAGGACGGAAGTGCAGAGCGCCCAGAGCACGGCCGCCGCCGAGACAGCAAGCCTGTGCTGCTCGGTGGCCTGGGCAGCATCTTCTGCTGCAGCCTCGATTTCATCTACTTCATCCGGGGGCGCCTGACCGACGACCGGAAGAGGGAGAGCACGAAGATGGCCGAGGCCTTCAGAAACTTCCCGAATTCTTTCATTCAGTTTAAGAAGCCTATCATTGCAGCCGTAAACAGCCCAGCCATTGGACGAGGAGAGTCCATACTGCCTCTCTGTGATGTGGTTTGGGTCAATGAAAAGTCTCGGTTCCAAACACCCGATACTATCTTCTGACAGAGGCCAGATGGCTGTACCACAGTTATGTTTCCCAAGGTAGTGGGAGGAGCATGTGCGAATGAAACGCTGCTCAGCAGGCGGAAGCTGATGGCGCAGGCGGCGTGCGGCAAAGGCCTGGGCCCCCAGGTGTTCTGGCTGGGGATGTCCTTCACCCGGGAAGTCATGGTCCGCCTTAAGGAGCTCGCCTCCTGCAACCCAGTTGTGCTCGTGGGATCCAAGGCCCTCGAGCGCTGCAGCAGGAAGCTGGAGCTGGAGCAGGCCAACGAGCGGGAGTGCGAGGTGCTGAAGCAGATCTGGGGCTCGGCCCAGGGCGTGGACTCCATGCTCAAGTACCTGCAGAGGAAAATCGACGAGCTCTGATGGCCAGGCTGCCCCCAGACGACCCTGGAATCGCATGGCGCAGGGCGGCTGGGGCTCCCCGGGGCCTGGACCCACCCTCACAGCCTGAAACACGTTCACTTGGCACTCACGCTTGGAAGCAGGACTTGAAATGGACAAGCAATTAATTACCAAGGAGTTTCTAAGTACTGTAACTTTAAAATAAATAACTACAAAGCTCCTTTGCCCAAACGTCATTATTTTATACTTAATACACACACAAGTATAAAAGTATAATGGAGAGCTCTGGGCTGCTCTTTGAGGCTCTAATTTTTGTTATCTTTGGCTGGGACTGTATAAAAAAGAAGTTTGTTTTCCTGGTTTGGGTGTCAGAAAAGGCTGGAATAATGTTTGTTTTCCTTGTTTTTTCCCGTCTAGAAAACAGAATCTAAAGAGGTGTTAGCCAGCCTTGCCTCCCCTGACCCAAATAGAAATATAGAAAAATCTGAGGCATGCCCTTGTCTCCAAGGAGGTACAAAACCTCAGAGATGGAAAATTCTAAATCAGTAGGAAGTCTTATCTTTCAGGATAAGTATTTCTGATTAAACACCCACTGATGAACATACGCCCAGACTAAAACGCACGTAGGAGTCACGCTGAGAAGTCAATTGATTCTCCCTTTTTTAAAAAAATATGTCCGATTCTTACCCAGTTGACAGGAAGAAACCACTTTCTCTAGGGGAAAGATTGTTTTGCTGTATTAGTGAATCACTGAATAGCGGTAAGTATGATATCTAAGTTATAAGTTAGTGGGTTTATAATTAGTTTTTTCTGACCCTTTTGAAAAATAACTACATAAGTGCTTCTTGTTGCTGGGTGAAAACTACTACTTTATATACAGTTTTGGTTTTCTATTTGCAGATATGATTGATGTATTACACCAAAAATAAAAGTATTTTTATGTTTATAAAGTGTAATTTTTAGGTTCACTTAGAATATATTTTATTTAATAAGTTAAAATTCTTTTGGCACACTATTAAATGCAGAAACTCCTTTTTAAGAGAAAGAACTACCTTATATTGACGTTTAATGTTCTTGGTCTCTGCTTTCATGTCAACACAATATACCAAGTACAGATTGCTGTCTGAAGAGTGCCATGTGTAAACACCCACATTCCTGCCAGGAGTGGGGACTGATTCCTGATTCCAGATGTCTACCATTCAGTAGGCTTCTGAGCTTGCAATCGTATGGAATGTATGAAGAATGAAATAAAATCAAAACCTTATTTTATACAGTTTTGACATTTATACTTAAAAGTGACCACCTCCTGGTTTCGGAGAACTGTACAGTGTGTAAATCTGCCTTTACCTTGGATTGGTTGGTGCAGTAATTTTGCATCTCTGGGACCTACTTTTTTCGTTCAGTAGTTTGAACTATATATAAAATGTACAGTCAGTAAATTTTTTATAGAATAAATATTCAGCTGTGAAAACTGGTTAAATGAAACTAATATTTCTTAACATATTTGAAAACAAACAAACAAAAACACAAATTACAGTAGGCTACGGGGGAATCTCCACTTTCTTGTTTAGAGTGGGAGAATGGTGACTATTGTCTGGTGTCTCTGAGAAGTCCTTTTCTTTGTGATTCTTCCCAAATCTTCCATAGTTGTGTCTATGTTGGAAGTGTATTTGACCAATAAATAAAATTTTTTCAGAGTTTTCCTGAAAAATAGTCTTGGGATCAGTTTGAGTGTGTCTAGAAAAGAAGCTTTTTTAAAATAGTGCTTCTTAAAATGAGGTTTGTGGACTCCTGAGAGTCCCTGAAACTCTTTTAGGGGATCTGTGAACTTAAAACTGTTTTTAAAACACTAAGATGCTTTTTTGCTCTTTCTAGTGTATTAACATTTGAACTGATCAAACAAATATAATTTGTTATATGCACCTTAGCATGAATCAAGCAATGGCACCAAACACTACTACAGTCACTGTAATCTTCCCTACCACTGAGTTTGCAGTAAAAACAAACAAAATGCCAGTTTCACTTAAGAATTTCCTTGATGAATCAGTAAAGATTATTGATTTTATTTAAACTCAACTTTTAAATGCACATCATTTAAAAATTTTGTGTGATGAAATGGGAAGTGCATATAAAGTGCTCCTAATGCATGTCAAAATATGGTGGTTGTCTAGCAAGGGCACTAGTGCAATTGACTTGTAAGCTGAACTTTTCTCATGTAACATTTTTGATTGAAAAGGCAACTGAAAGACTTGCTGATTCATACTTGGGTATTGGTAGACATTTTTGGGGAAAATGCACGAAATGAGCCTGTCACTTCAAGGACAAAAACTCACAGTGTTTGTTACCAAAGATAAAATTTGAGCTTTTAAGAAAAAATTAGAATGTTGGGAAACTTGTATCCACCACTTTGAGACTGAAAACTTAAGAACTTAAAAACTTATCTAATGAGATTGATGATGGTATTAACAAATATGATGTTTTAATATTGTACAATGAAATGTGCCAATATTTGGGCCATCCAGATAAGCCAGTGAACCAATATTTTCAAATGACCAATGCGTCAGGTTACAAAATCATGGATGGATGAAAGATATATTCAATGTGTAAGATAGATCAATGAACTTAATGTAATAGTATGAAAACATCACAGATTTCACATTGCAGCTAATCTTTGAGAAAATATCACTTGTTCAGCTTTGATGTATTATTAATGAGGAATGTCCATAATTCTCTGAAAGCTGTTAAATTAAACAGTCCCTCCTTGCCTACTACATGTATGGGTGAGGGCAGATTTTTTTCATATACTTCAACCAAAACAGTATATCACAACAGATTGAATGCAGAGGCAAATATGAGAATCCAGCTGTTTTCTATTAATTTAGACATTAAAGAGAATTGCAAAAAGTAAATCAATCCCACTCTTTTCTATAATTTTTTTGGAAAATAATTTTGTTTGTAAAATTGATAATTAGGTTAACATGTAACAGGTTCATAATTGTATTTTTAAATGATTTAAGAAGTATTAAAAATTTTTTGTTTTAATTTCTAGTATGTTACATGTCAATAGATATAACTCACACAAATAAAATAACTTTGGGACCCTCAATAATTTTTAAGAGTCTAAGTTGATCCTGAGACCAAAATGTTTGAGGACCACAGTTTAAAAATATTAACCAGTTTCCATTTTTCCTATTTTCATGTCTTGAAGGCTAGTTGAAGAATGAACTTTTGTACTTGATGTGTTTTGTTTTACAGTATAGGATATATTCTATTAAAGATGGGAAAGATGGTAAATCTCTGCCATTTATGTTGTGTGACTCCATTGGGCTGGATGAGAAAGAGGGAGTAGGCTTATGTGTGGCTGACATACCCCACATCTTAAAAGGCTGGTGCCAGACAGATATCAGGTAAGAATCCTTCAATGTTTAAAACATTTCAAATCACTTTCGTCAATGCTTTTCATTGACTTTTTACCCCAGGCAGTTTCAATTGTCATAAAGTTGTTTTAACACCAACCAATACTACTGTACTTTAATAAGTATTCATGTAAGGAAAGTAGATAACAGCTCTTATTTTCTATAGCATTAAGAAATATAGCCAAAAGGCAAGATTCTACTCATACAGGTTCCAGGAAAAGTTCAGGAGGAATTGTGTTTATATCATTCTTTACAATGATGTAAAATAGTAGGAAAGTAGTAGTATAATCTCTTTTTTTTTTTTTTTTTTTTTTTTGTGTGGTACGCGGGCCTCTCACTGTTGTGGCCTCTCCCGTTGCGGAGCACAGGCTCCGGACGCGCAGGCTCAGCGGCCATGGCTCCCGGGCCCAGCTGCTCTGCGGCATGTGGGATCATCCCGGACCAGGGCACGAACCCGTGTCACCTGCATCGGCAGGCGGACTCTCAACCACTGGGCCACCAGGGAAGCCCTAATCTCTTGAACTTTAATAATCACTTAGGTAAAATATTGAAACAACCACTTTTTGTTGAAGTGTGATGTTATACTGAAAGTAATCAGGCTTCACTACTTAAATACTTAGATTCAAATGTTGGCTCTGCCACCAATTAGGTGTGTACCCATAAGCAAGTTACATACTTGTCTCTGTAAGTCTTAGTTTTTTCGTGTGTGTGTGAAATGTAGATAATGCTAATCTCACAGGTGGCTAAGAAGATTAAATGAGAAGATGTACTCTAAGTTCTCAAAAAGTTAACCATTATTATCACCTTTCTTTTAGGCATAATAAAATCAGCCTCAGTTTCTAAGCAGTGACTTCCTTTGCCTCTCAATTGTGCTTGATTGGAAACCTTAACTATGCACTTATTTATTTTAAAACTGTTGATTAAAAACCTAATTTGTGTCAGATACTACGCTAGTTTTGAATATGAACATAATCCTATCCTCAAGAAGCTCACAACCTAAAAAGACATAAAGATACAGGGCGGAGGAGCAGGGTAGAGAAATGGGAGAAATCATGGACATATGAGCACCTTCATTTTTTACAGCACAGAGTCAATCAATTCAGTCCAACATTGAAACATATAGTTAAAAAAATAATGAACCCAGCCTTGTATTATGTTTTGTAATTATTTTCTTAACCCTGGAAAGATTATTGTCTTGTGGTAAGGAGATGTTAATTTAAAATTTGGTATTTTTTTCACTTTAGTTTCTTTTTCTTCTGTAAAATTAAAAGAAATTATAGTGTTTTAGTTTAAATGGCATTTTCAATATATATATATATATATTTTTTTTTTTTTTCCTTGCGTTATGCGGGCCTCTCACTGTTGTGGCCTCTCCCATTTGCGGAGCACAGGCTCCGGACGCGCAGGCTCAGCGGCCATGGCTCACGGGCCCAGCCGCTCCGCGGCATGTGGGATCTTCCCGAAACGGGGCACGAACCCGCGTCTCCTGCATCGGCAGGCGGACTCTCAAGCACTGCGCCACCAGGGAAGCCCTTCAATATATTTTTCTCTTGCCTTTTCTCTCAGTCCATTTAAGTATGCAAGAGTTTTGAAATTAGGTTTAAAAAAAACCATTATTTGTACTTTTCTGAAATATTTCCATTATGGATAATTAAGTTATAATCACCATTTTTGCCAAAGCAATGGAGTGTGTTGTTTTATAAAAAAGACATAATGGTGCCATGCTAACAATGGAGAGGAAGCATGAAAGGGGTGCTAATAACTAATCTGGGGAAGGAGTATTGGGGGGAAGGGAAGATTTTGGGTTGGAGGTTGGTGGTGGGCATGTTTGAAACACGAATTGTATCTGAAAGAATTCAGCAGAGACTCTCTAAATGTTACCTTATGTTTCTATAACAGTTTAGTCCCCATAAATCAATTACACACATGCATCCTACTTCCATCACCTCTCCATCACTGAAAGACAGGATTCACTGTGTGGCTTATGTCTTTGATATCAACTCTATTGACAATCTCTCCTCTAAAATGGTGGCAAAGTTCAAACAAGTTCAGAAAGAAATATTAAACTGCGGTGAGTCTCATTGTACTTATTAAAATATTTTTACTTGGAAATAATGCTATATTCACAGGAAACTGCAAAAAGAGTACAGCAAGGTCCCATGCCCCCTTCATCCAATTTCCCGAGCCCTGGGTTAGTTGGTGGCAACAGCAGATGGAGATCATCCAAAGGCTTTACTGAAAGCAGGACCCTAAATCCTAGTCTTCATTCCTTAAAGATTAGAAAGGCCATAGTTTTTTTTGTCATGTGTGATTTTCCTGTGACTAGATAGGGGAGTCACCTCCCCACATTATGTGACTAGACCAGAAATATTAAAACCGGGAGATATAACACTCTTATAATGTGTGGTAGAGCTTTGTCATTTTGTCACATGTGTAGATTCGTGTAACCGCCACTACAATCAAGATACAGAGCTACTCTATCACCACAAGGTCTTTGTCATGGTATCCCCCAATCCTCACCATCCATAGTTTTTGGCAGCAACTAATCTCTCCTCCATCTCCATACTTTTGTCATTTTGAGAATGTTGTACAAATGGAATCCAAAATTATGTCTGATTTGAGACTGGCTTTTTTCACTCAGCCTAATATCCTTTGAATTCCATCGAAGTTGTTGTGTATATCAATTGTTCATTCCTTTTTATTGTTGAGTAGTAATCCATGGTATAGATATTCCACAGTTGTTTTAACCATTCTTTATCAAAGGACATTTTGATTACTTCTGGGTTTTGGCTATTGCAAATAAAGCTCCTTTGAATATTAGTGTGCAGGTTTTTGTGTGGACATAAGTTGTCATTCTTCTGTGATAATTCCCCGAAATTGTGATTGTTGGGTCCTATGCTAAGTGTGTGTCTAATTTTTTAAGAAACCACCAAACCACTCTTCAGAATTACTGCACATTTTATATTTTAACAATATATGAGAGATCTAGTTTCTCTGTATTCTTGCTAGTGTTTGCCATTATTGCTATTTTTAAAAAATTTAACTCTTCTAATAGGTGTATAGTGATAGCTCATCATGGTCTTAATTTGCATTGCCCTAATGATGAATTACATTGAACATCTTTTAATGTACTTATCTGTTTGTATGTGTCTTCCTCAGGGAAATATCTCTTCAGGTGTTTGACCTATTTTCTATTCGGACACTTTGGTTTTTTACTGTTGAGTTTTAAGAGATCCATAAATTCTAGATATGAGTCAATTATCAGATATATGGTTTGCAAATAGTTTCTCCCAGTTCTCAGTTGTCTTTTCATTATCTTAACAGAAACTTTCACAAAACTAAATTTTATAAAATTTGGTGAACTCCAATTTATCAGTTTTTTCTTTTAAGGATCATGCTTTTCATTTTGTGTCTAAAATCTCTTACCAAGCTTTAAGTCCCCCAATTTTTTCTTTGTTTTCTTCTAAAAGTTTTATAGTCTTATTTTTTACATTTGAATATATGATTAATTCTGAATCACTTTTTGTGTAAGATGTGAGGTATAGGTCAAGGTTTATTTTATTTTATTTTGCCTATAGATATTCAATTGATCTAGCACCACTTGTTGAAAAGATTATCATCGCTCCATTGTATTGCTTTTGCACTGCTGTCAAAAATTCATTGTCCTTGCTTTTGTGCATCTATTTCTGGGTTATGTATTCTGTTCCCTTGATCTATGTGTTCATTCTTCTACCAACACCACACAGTCTTTATAACTGTAGCTATATAATAATAAAAATGTAGGTCTTAAAGTGGGTAAAATAATTCTTCCCATGTTATTCTTATTTGTCAAAATTGTTTTAGCTATTCTAGTACCTTTAACTTTCCATGGGAATTTTAGAATTACCTTGTCTATTTCTACAAAAAAATCTTGGTGAGATATTGATAGTTTGTTAGCTCTATGAAGATTTTTTGTTGAATCTTAGGATTTCATGCCATCTCAGATGGGGACAATTTTATGTCTTCCTTTTCAATTTGTATGTGTTTTATTTCCTTTGCTTGTCTTACTGTCCTGGCTAGGACTTCCGATTATTATGTTGAATAATAGTGGTGAGAACAGATACCCTTGCCTTGTTTCTGATCTTAGGAGGAAAGTATCCAGTGTTTCACCACTATGATGTCAACTATGGGTTTTTAATAATAGTTCTTTATTAAGTTGAGGAAGTTCTTCTTTATTCCTACTTCTCCAGGAGTTTTTTCTTTTTTAATCATGAATGAGTGTTGAATTTTGCCAAATGGTTTTTCTCCATAAATTGATATGATCATGGGAGTTTTTTCCTCTTTAGCTTGTTTGTGTCATGGATTATACTGACTGAATTTGAATCTTAAGCCAACTTTGTCTCTTTAGGAAAAAAAACCCATGTGTTCATCGTGCATAATTCTTTTTATGTATTGCTGAATCCTGTATGATAATATTTTATTAAGAATTTTTGCATCTATATTTATGAGGAATATTGGTCTGTAGTTGGGTTTTTTATTTATTTATTTTTAAAATTTCTGCGGTCTTTGTCAGGTTTTGGTCTCAGGGTAATATTGGTGTTATAAGATGGGTTGGGAAGTGTTCCTTCCTCTTTCATTTTCTGGAAGAGATTGTGTAGAGCTGGTATTAATTTCTTTTTCAATGTCTGGTAGAATTCTCCAGTAAAGCCATCTGGGCCTGAAGATTTCTTTTTCAGGAGTTTTTAAAACCACAAATTCAATTTAAAAATAGTTTTAGAGTTATTTAAATTATATATTTCATATTAGATGAGTTGTGGTAGTTTGCAGTGTGTAGTTTTAGTCTATTTCTTCTAAGTTGTCAAATTTATGCATGTAGAGTTGTTTGTAGTATTTTCTTATTCTTTTTATGTCTTTGGGGTTTGTAGGGATATCCCCTCTGTCCTTCCTGGAGAAGCAGTTATTAGTAAAGCAGAACTTTGATTCGGTTAGGAGCTGAGTGTGATTTACTCATCTGATCTCTGCGGTTTGAGGGAAAAGGCAAGAGATCCTTAGTAGAACTGTGAAATCAGTGTACTTTGCTTTTATAAATGCTCACACACAACCCTCCTCACTTTCTCTTTCTTGGGGTTCTTCTGTAGTCTTCAAGATTCAGCAACCACTTTTGCCCCCTGGACACTTTAAAACACACTATTTGAATGGGATAGTAGCTGATTGCAACTTAGTGTGAATTTAATTGCATTTAGAAATGATCTCTCACTTTGGAAGGAATCATTTCTCCTGTTAGAAGAAGTTCAAGTCCCATATTGAGATTTCTTGGGGATATTGCATTCTCCTGATCTCAAATTTACATTACAGAGTACTGTTTTCACACATATTTAATTACCTTGTTAACACACTGCTGTTTATGATATAAAATAACGGATTTATCTATTTGATATAGGTGTAGCACATGTAGCATTGCTTACTAAAGTGAATAATTGCTATGCAGTTCTTCAAGACAACTTCTTAAAGATGAATAAATCTATGATTTCTAAAAGCCAGGTAAGGAATACTTTTTGCAACTAGATAGTATTCTAATAGTGTTGTACTGTGTGTGTGTGTGTGTGTGTGTGTGTGTGTGTGTGTGTGTGTGTGTGTGTGTGCGCTCACACTACATATTCACGGGTAAATGAAGAAATGGATCAATTGCCTGGTTGATTCAAGTTTATACCCCACTTTAAAATAATGATCTGAATTATAATTATATTCAGAAAATACTTTATTAAGCCATTGCTTTTTCTGTTTCTTGAATTATATTTAAATCAGTCAAATTTCAGATATAAGACCTGCTTATTAAATTGATTTTTCCACATATACAGAATGCCAACAAGATGCTAGGCATTCCTCTTTCTAATATCTTGTTGGTTGAAAATTATGCTTCAGAGCGGGAGATGGATCCTTTAAAGGACATTTTGATCCTCTCTGCACTGAAGCAGATGTTCCGGGCTGCAGATGACTTCTTAGAGGATTTGCCTCTTGAGTAAACAGGTGATCTGGCCCCGTTCTGCTCCTCTCACAAGCTTTTGGAAAAACTCTAAGCTATACCTCAGTTGGATGGCTGGTACCCATCTGCCTGTTCTAGCCCTGACGGCCATGTTACAATATGTGCTTTGTTTTCACTCTTTTTATGTTTTGTTTTCAGATGCAATTGTGGGAATGTTCCAGCTCTGCACGCGACATCAGTGCCTTGATTCAGGCACATGGCCCAAACCAGGGTTGCTGACAGCCTCTTTGAGACTCTGCTTCTATTCATGTTTTACCTTCTGTCTCTGACAACATCTAACTGATGGTTCCTTCTAGGATCAGTCACACCTCAAGTGCAAAGGCCAACCTTGAGCAGTGGTGGGCCAACATACGCTCTATTGCAAACCACCCTTTGTATTTCTGCACTATTTACAATTTAATTTATATGACACCTTTCTAAATCTCCTCAGCAAAATTAACTATTCCCTTATTATTTATCCATAACACTTAATTTAAAACTCTATGGAAGTACTAATCACATTGAGTATAAACTGGTTACCTAGTTATCTGCTTTTCTAAATAAATTGTGAGTCTTTTACGAAACAGAGTTTGGATTTTACTTATCTTTGTATTCACAGAAATTAGCATAGTGCCTGGCAGGGAGCAAGCATACCTGCTATTAAGCATCTCTCTCAACCTCCCCAGAGTGATACCATGTATTTAAAATTTTCTCCTTATAGAGGAGAAGAGAGGGAGAGAATGAAATGCTGGAGATAAATAAAGGAGGGAGAATATTTCACTTATCTCTGGATGACAATATGATTTAAGTTAATTAAAAAGAACAAGTATTTCTAAAGGACTTACATTTTGTTTCTGTAAAAAAAAGCTTTTTCCTCTAATGAACCCATGCCTGATTTTCATTAACTGAATTCCAAACCATCCTAGCCATGTTCCCAAAGTAGAGTGATCAAATATGTTTACTAGTGCAAGTCAATAACACAGTTGTCTTATACAGGTGCTCCCAAATGATTCTAAAGTTCTCAGGGTAGCTGAAAAAGTTAGGGCTATTAATAAAGACAGAAAAAGAATTCCAGAAAATAGGTTTCAGGGTTTTTTTTTTCCTCTCTTTTTTCTCTTAACTCTCTTCTTCAAATTTCTAAGTCTTTTTCAAGTGAATATGCTCTGGCTCAATAGTTATTTATATTAAAGCAGTCTAATTTACTTATAATCAGAATTATTATCTTTTTTTTGGGAAGTCCTGGGTATTACAAGGGCAAGAATTCCTTAGGGATAGTTAAGGAAAAAGGAATATTTCCTAAAGCAAAGCTGTAGGTGAAGCTGTGCTCAAATGAATGTCCAGGAGCCGTGATTCAATGAAAGAGAGGGATGGGATATTTAAAAAAGATCTAGGAATAGAAAGGTCATAAATATTGAGGAAGCGAGCCCAAAGTAGATATTGGGAACAAAATTAGAGTGGCAGCCAGGATGGTTATGCTGTGTATGTAGGATGCAACAGGTCCAAAAAGTAAGGTATGTTTTCTCTATGTAATCCAGGGAGAAAAACAAGCCATGGCCGTTGTTGGTTGGGAAAGACTGAAGGTGATTGAAGACCCACCATTGTTTTCACCTACTATAGGGCCATAGCTCATCCTTCTTCAAGGTGGAGTCAGCAAAAATCTGGGCAGAGGAAAGTTTTGCTAGATGTAAAGTTAGATTCAAGGTAGAACTTCTTTACTCTATTTGAAGGGGTAGCATGGAATACCCTTATGAGGGAGATGGAGACACTGAAAAGAAGAGAAGTAATGGAATGATCAAGAGAGATAAACAATGAGGGACTGTCCAGGTGAACCAACATTGTTTGAGAGTACAAATATTGAGGCTAAGTTTTTCTTTTTGTTCTGTAAAGGTGTTAGATTAATGATGTCACAATTCTGAATCCTCAGGCCGTACACTACTTTGGGAACACTTAAACCTCCAATAGAGCTAAATGTATATTTGGAGTTTAGGTTGGAAAAGATTGGTGAGGGGAGCTTCAAAAAGGGATAAACTTCTCTTTTATCTGAGAGAGAACCTTCCCTGACATTGTGGATTCTGCCAATCTTTCTCTACCATCCTGGGAGATAGTGGGACTCACCACTTTGCTACGTTTTAGAGGCCATGCAGGATTTTGGAATAATTTGCAATTCATCTAGATGTACAGTCCAGCCCAAATCATTAAAATATTTATTAGTAAAATAGTGCTAAGGGACACAGTAGATGAAACATAAGTGTGGTGTCAAGTAGAATATCATCTTAAAGTGAGAGGGATGTTGTAGAGACAGTTTTGCTAGAAACTTTGCACTGTGAGTGGATGGGTGAGTGGGTTGGGTTGTGGCCTTAAAAAGTGACTGTTTCTTAACCTACGTGTCCATCAACAGTTGAATGGATAAAGAAAATTGAATATTATTAAGCCATAAAAAGAAGGAAGTCCTGCCATTTTAAACAAAATGGCATATGCTAAAAGAAATAAGTCAGATAGGAAAGACAAATACTGTATGACATCACTTATATGTGGAACCTAACAAAGCTGGACTCATAGAAACAGTGGAATGGTGGTTGCCAGGGGCTGAGAGGTGGGGGAAATGGGGAGATGTTGGTTAAAGGGTACAAATTTCCAGCTGTAAGGCGAATAAGTTCTGAGAATCTGATGTACAGCAAGGTGACTATAGTTAACAATACAGTATCATATACTTGAAAGTTGCTTAGCAAGTAGTTCTTAAATGTTCTCACCACACATACAAAAAGTGTAATGATTTGAGGTGATGGATGTGTTAACTAACCTTACTGTGGTAATCATTTCACAATATATATGTTTATTAAAGCATCATGTTGAACACCTTAAACTTACATAATGTTATATATCAATTATATCTTGATAAAGCTTGAAAAAAAGTAAAAAACCAAAGTGTTTCTTTCTGACAGAAATTGGTAACATTGTACAAATTCACCCAGTATCTACCTTAATGAGAGGGGTAATTATGGTGGGTGATGTGTAAGGCTGTGTTTTCTTTAGAAAACTAATCTTAAAGATTATCATATTGCTTCTTCATAAAAAAGGCAGCTTCATAACTAATTTCACAAAATTGATTGGGGGACTCAAGTAAGTCTCAGGTTCTATAGAGACCAGCTGATGAGTAATCATCTTGTAGGGACAAAATTCCATCTGATGCTAAAGTAGCCACTTGATAGCAAGGCCGATCAAAGTCTTTAGGTGTTCCTAAAAGCTGTGGGAATTTGGATGTCCCCAAATCCCAATCCTAATGTGACGAGTGTCTGGGCCGATTTATGGAGAAGGGTAGATCAAGTACATCTGATTTTTGCCATCAATCTAAGCAAGATGGAATCTTGACTACCAGTTGCAAACCACTGCAAAAATTTTTTTCTGGTGTTGAAGAAAATTCAGGGCACTGGGGTCAGCCAGACAATAGTTTGGATAATAGCCAATATCCAGCTGCACGCCCCTCACATGGATAGATTCAAGCTATTCCAGGCCCCAGGGAAGAAATGTCAGTGTAAGCAAAACTGCAAGTATGGGTTGCAGGAATTGGGATGGGGTGGGGAAAAGACTAACAAGCTGTGCTCAGTGGTGGGTAGATCATTATAGTTTTTAAAGTTTTTTAAACAATTGATTTCTTTGGAATATTTCATGATAACTCCAATCTGACATCAATAAAAAATGCAAAACAATCCCATACATTTAAGCCTTTGAGCTCATTTGTCTTCCATTTTGGTGTTATATTGTGAAAGTAATTCACATGTGAATGGACCACTACAGTTTAAATAAGCATACTAAAATATATACAGTTATGGTATTCTGAGTGTATCAGACCCTGTTCTGCCTGATAGGCAATCGGTGGTTCTATTCCCAGTGCAGGTTTATAGGGGGGGATTGTCAAATCCCCATGACTGAAGAGTCCAGGGAGAAAAGGAAGTAGCTCATCTGCATGGTAGGACTTTAGATATTTCAAATGGGCAGCACATGAAGCTAGATAACTTCTTAAAATAGCAACTTTTATGTATTTTTTTGTACTTCCCTGTGTATAGTTTGTCCCTCATTTCCCAGAGTCACTCACGTTGTCTTCTTAAGAATTAAGATTATTTAAACCAGGGGGTGAAAAAAAACTGAAACAGTGTTCAGATTTTTTTTAAGTTTCATAGTAGACCCTTGGGAGTCCAGGCCATGAAAGGATCTGAACACAGAATTTATAGAATTGCTATGTATTAAAAAGGTAATAGAGGGACGCAGTTCTGTAGAAACTATAAGGTAGTCTCCCATCCTGGGAAGAAAGAGGGAAGAGAAATTGTCCATAACTCTGGTGGAAGAATGAAAGAAAGAGAAACAAAATTGAAGGGACCAAGAGGAAGTGTGTGGTACACAAAGGGGGAATTCTCAGTACCATGTGAGCAGTTACGACACTGACTGGAAGCCAGGGCAATGTGTCCAAAGTCTTCATCCCCATTTGAAGAAGCCCCACACTTCACAAGGTAAAGAAGAAATGTTACCTGATGGTCTTGTCAATGTGGCCTGTGGGCCTTTCATTAATAATGGACTGACTGTCATCTGTAGACTATCCAACAGAAGGACACACCTCTGTTCTGAAATTTAGCTGGCTGAGACTGTCTGAATAGTAGGAGCATATCTGCTTTATAAAGACCTGAGACACTCAGAATACTCCCAACATATAAGGTTGACCCTTGATGCTAAAAGGACCAGTGGGAGTATGCAAAGGGGGACACCAACACAGGTTTTTGGATGGGACCTATCATACCTCTGAGCTCATATACAGCATCTATGTCTTCCAAAGGCTCAAGGAAAGGAAAGCTGGGAATATCAATTTCTTGAAGGAACTGGTTCATTCAAATGACATAATTTATGAGCAAGGGCTACCTAAGTTATTGGGTTATTTGTATGTGTTGGGAGTGGGGAGGTAGGGGGCAGGTTTGAAACTACATCTTGATAAATGCCAATTCTACAGTATCTCTTAAAAGAATTGGGGTAAGTGCTGACTACCAAATGATCTCTCCTCCCATCTCCATGTCTTGTTTCTTTATCATTAAGGAGCTAAGCCTTACTTATTTCAGTTCCATTGATGATACAAGGAATGTGTCAAATATTACCATAAGATTCCTAGCTTTCTAACCGAGCTGACAGCTGTTTTCCAGGTGATGTTAGACCCTCTGGCTCCAGTCTGAGTTCTTAAGGCAGTCTTCAAAATGGAAGAAGAGAAGATCTTCTGCTCTTTTGAGCCTTTCAGGGAGCAGTGGAACCTGACCATAGAAAGAATTCAGGCGGTGATGACACTGTGTTTAACCCTTGCTGATCTCTGCAAACCTTTTGTTTTACCCAGTGTTCTCTGCTTGAGGCTGCTCCTCCCATCATAGCTTTTCAGAAACCTTCTCATGTTTCTTTGCTGGAGTCAGCTTTAAAGTCTTCCTTAACACCAGCAGCATATAAAGCAGTGGACGCTGATGCACTAAGACCCTCAGGATTGGCCAATTTGGCAAGAGACCCTCTCCACTGACCATGAAAATAGGGAAATGGAACTGCTCACCCTTGAAGACTCACTGAGACCAGCGTGGGAGACTTCCCTCCCTGTTGCTAGCATGGACCACAGCGTCACTCAGCTCTGCAGAGTCAGCTTCTCTGCAGGTTCACTTCTTTATTTGCAGCGGAGCTACGTTCTTTAGCACTTTCCAGCATTTCCCTAGCAGGAGATAGGCGCCACTACCTAAATGCCCTCTCCCCATAGTAAGACAAGACCATCCCTCAAATTCCCAGCTCCTGAGGAAGAGAGTGAGTCTTTCCAGATGTATAAATGGAGGAGGTGCGGAAGGGAATAGTTCCACCATTTGATGCAGCTGATCACTTCCCTACTTTTCTGGCTTTTCACTGTTGTGGTCCTCTCACTGTTGTGGCCTCTCCCGTTGCGGAGCACAGGCTCCGCACGCGCAGGCTCAGTGGCCATGGCTCACAGGCCCAGCCGCTCCGCGGCATGTGGGATCCTCCCGGACCGGGGCACGAACCCGTGTCCCCTGCAGCGGCACGTGGACTCTCAACCACTGCGCCACCAAGGAAGCCCCAATATTATTTTTATATGACTTTGCAATCTAAAATTAGCTGGATTCCTTTATGCTTGCTCACTGGAGGGAAATGGGCACACTGCCAACTGGGCTGGGCCACACTGAGTTTCAGTTTCCTTTTGTCTGAGTCTCAGAAGCCTCAAGGTTGCTGAGAAATTTTCTGCTCCCACTTTGCGCCTGCCTACCTGTCCAGAGAGAGCAACTACTCTCAGCTTCAGCCCTTGTATAGATCCTCCAAACAGGTAAATGAATTGCTGCTTTCCACGTTTCCCAGCCTCTTGCAAACAAGTCTTTTTAGTTTTTAATTTAAAAGGTAATTATTTAGAATGCAAAACTAGCTAATGACTTTTCTTGCTATCTATTCACCCTCCGTTTACTCATTTCATTTGTAATGTAAAGTAAATAAAAGGCATAAATGCAAACTTCGTGGCAGTACATATTATCTGTTTTGCAATATTTAATGGAAAATGGATTTGATTTTCCACCAGATTGAGAAGTATAGCAATGACAACTTGTTTGACGTGATGCAAGAAAAAAAGCTGAAAGATTATTTTGGAGAAAAGCAGTTTAGCCTTCCCTATAAGGCCAGTGTCTATGAATTCTCTAGTGAAAGTTTGCTTCAGAGATGCTCTAAACAAGGACCCACTATAACAGTGATTTATAGTGAAGATCACATTGTTGGGGCATATGTGCAAAAGAGCTACCCAGAAGACTATTTCATTATCCTTTTTGCCTTTCAAGAGACTGCAATTTCAGAATGCAAAATAGGGCCATGTCAACTATCTATGTTGTTTTGTGAAAGTGATAGAAATTCTGAATTCAATATAAAACTAGAGAAAAAAGAGGTGGCTATTAGCATAAATACAATGGACAAACTTGGACTACCTCAATGTTGTATTTCCTTCCAGGAATGTGAAGTTTTTCAATGTGAAGGTAGGTTTAACTAGATAGCGCTATATAGAGTTCTCTTTATGTTTGGAGGGTTCTAGCTGACTCATTCCTGTAAGGAACAATAACTTTTATACTTGTCCTTATCTCCAGGTGGCCCAGACTGAAACCTGGCCACAAATTGTGTTCTACAACACAACCATGGTCAAAAGTAGAATATACAGAGTTTTCTGTGGAGTGTGGGGAACAGGTGGGGAGGAAGCGGGAGTGTGAAAGGAAGAGAGAGAGAGAGAGAGAGAGAGAGAGAGAGAGAGAGGGCACAGAAAGCAAACTTGAAGATTATGAGACTGTCAAAAAGAAACCAGAGCTTGAACTTCTTTTGACTGGTAGTCAATCCTTTCTGCTGCAGTTTCCTGTTATATCCATTATATCAAAAGACCAAAGTTAATTTACCTAATTTTCTTCTAAAGGACACTTAAATTATTTCTTATATTTGCTGTTATAAACAATGCTCCTGTAATACCAGTATGCATATAACTGTGCACAAAAATACTTCTCTGTGGTAACTTCCTGGTAGTGGAATTGCTGTTTAAGAATTATGTACATTTGCATTTCGATAGATCCCTTTCAAAAGCTTCAGCTGTCTGCGCTACCCCCAGGAGTGTTATGGAAATGATTCTTTCCCTGTATCCTTGCCAGTCTTTGCTATTATCAATACTTAGAATCTTCACGAATTTGATGGTCAAAAGATGGTTTCTCATTTTATTTTTTGCTCATCTCTGATTGTTAATGAGTCTATGTGTATTGGTTATTTATATTTCTTCTATGAAATACTTGTTTATATCTATCCACTTAAAAGAAGGGCTCCTGGGAGTAGCATTCCCAGAGCATTTGTGTTTCCAAACTAATTGTGGTTTTTATACTTAAATGACTAGCAGAGTACATAATTCATGGATCACATTTTATTCTGGGGGATACTGTAATGTTTCCACAGCTTTGGTGTTACTGTGGAAAACCTTAGGCCAGATTTATTTACTTGCAGTATTTTTTTATTGTTTCTCTTTGAGTGATTTGATCTTTCTTCTGGCTGCCCCAAACAGCTTAAAGCTTTTTGTTGCTGTTGAAGCCTGATAAATTTACATGGATGCATCATGATGTTGACACTAACTGATCAGTTAAGTAAACTTTTTATTGAAGTATAACATATAAACAGAAATGCACAATTGATCAGTGTACCAACTGACAAACTTTTATAAATTGGACACAGTCATGCAACCAGTACTCGGATGAAGAAATAGATTATTACCATCGTTTCAGAAGACTCCTTTATGACTCCTCTCAGTTATTACTAACCAAAGGTAACGATTATTCTGGCTCATAGTAACATTAATTAATACTTATTATTTTTCAATTTTATATAACTGGAACTATACCAAAGTGTGTGTTCTTCTGTCTGGCCTCTTTCATTCAATATTATGTGTGAGAAGTTGGGCTAATACAATGGATTGGATTATAAAATCAGACCTCTGCAAATCAGATGTCTTACCTAGTATCAAGTTTTACTAACAATTTCAAGAATAAAAGCTATCAAAAATCTCAGAGAAGTCAGGAAGAGTACTAAGATATTCTGTGTGGCTCCTAATTTTTTCCTTCCCGTATTAGACATATGTTTTCTGGCTAAGAACAGAAGGCAGCGTTTTTAAATGAAGTTTGTGGGCCACCTTACATATTGAAGAGTGGTTAGATTATGGAACATTTATTATGCCAGTGATATGGGCTCCCAAATTATGATTAAGGCATGTTGAAGCCCTAACCTCCAGTGTGAGTATACATGGAGACAGGGTCTCTAGGAAGTAATTAAGGTTAAATGAGGTCATAAGAATGGGACCTTAATCTGATAGGGATAAAGTAAGTTTCCATATAAGAAAGGACACCAGGGAGCTTTTTCCCTCTCCCCACGAATCCACAAGAAAAGGACTTGCGAGCACACAGCAAGATGGTAGCCACCTTCCTACAAGCCAAGAGGAAAGGCCTCAGAATGAAACCTGCTTTGCCCACACCTGGATCTTGGACTTAGCCTCCAGAATGCGAGAAATAAATTTCTGTTGTTTAAGCCACCCAGTCCATGGTAATATGTACAGCAGCCTGAGTAGACTGAGACAATCAGCTTATGTGACATTCTAGGAAGACATGCCTCATAAATCCATAAAATCTGGATTTATTTACTGTAAGTAATTCTTAGCCAGGAACATCCTGTCAAAGACATTCAAGAGATAAGTACTCTCCTTGTAGCAAATATCATTAGTTTATTTCCCAGAAGACAAGGTTATTAGCATATTTATAAGAAAATTAGTCCCAGTCACTTTCTTTTTTCTTTCCCTGGTAAAGTCAGTGAATGTATCCCAGGCCAGCTATTTTAACTTATAACTCCCTAGTGATTCATCCATAGTATTATATGTAGTAGTAATATTTTCCTTTTAATTTTTATATAATATTCCATTGTAATGATTCCATCACACTTAAAAAATATCAAATTACTTTTGGTGACTATTTGGGTTTTCCAGTTTGGAGCTACCACAAATAATACTGCTATAAATATTCTTCTGCGTGTCTTTTGGTTCATGTATATACATAATTTTTTGAAGAGTATAAGTATGAAATTTCTGGGTCATTGGGTATGTGTATTTTCAGTTTCAGTAGATACTGATAAAGTTTTCCAACACTGTCATACCATCCCACTACCACAAGCAGTGTATGAGACTTTCTGTCACTCTAAATCTTTCCCCAAACCTTTTATCACTGGTTTTACAATATGTAGCCATTCTGGTATGTGACCCGTGGTGTGACATTTTGTGAATTTGTCTTTCTTTGATTAGACTAGTTAGTAATTTATTTATTTCATATTTAAAATTAATTAATTACTATATTAATTTATCCCTTTTTTCAATTTATGAATTTGTCTTTGTATTTTTGTTATTAATATATTCTTATATTTCTAAGGTTTGTTCCCCTCTATTCTTTTCTATTTCTTTCCTTCTTTCCTGTTATTCATGAAAGGTACTTTTATCCCAAGATTGATATGAAGCATTTATATTGTTGTTATTTCCTATATATTTACTCTTGTGATTTTTAATTTCCTTTTGGATGTTAAAGTATCTAAAACGTGATTTGTAAAATCCTAATACGTTGCCCTTCTCTTTGTTTACACTTGTTCTTTTCCAGTTTTATTATATTGCAGTCATTGAATGCAGTTCTTCACTATTTCTACTTTTGCTAATTTAAAGAGGCTTTCTTTGTAACCATACATACAGCTATATTTATAAATGTTCCACACAGTATTATTTTTTTTATTGTTTAGAGAATTACCAGCATCACTACACCTAATCCTTTCAGTTTTAAATCCACCATAGAAGAGTATCTCTTTCCGGGGCTTCCCTGGTGGTGCAGTGGTTAAGAATCTGCCTGCCAATGCAAGGGACACGTGTTCGAGCCCTGGCCCAGGGAGATCCCACATGCCGTGGAGCAGCTAAGCTCATGCGCCACAACTACTGAGCCTGTGCTCAAGAGCCCGCAAGCCACAACTACTGAGTCCACATGCCACAGCTACTGAAGCCTGTGTGACTAGAGCCTGTGCTCCGCAACAAGAGAAGCCACCACAATGAGAAGCCTGTGCACCGCAATGAAGAGTAGCCCCCACTCACCGCAACTAGAGAAAGCCTGCACACAGCAAGGGTGACCAAACACAGCCAAAAATTAAAAAAAAACAAAAATAAATAAATAAATAAATTTATTTATTTTAAAAAAAGATTATATCTTTCCAAGAAACAAAAGAATTCTGGGCCTGAGTCTAATTGGTTCAAATGAAGACCTAAGCCCACCCCTGAACCACTCACTGTGCTCTGATTGGCTATGCACAAGTACTACATTCTTTTCTCTACCAAGAAGAAAATCAATTGGATTGGAAGTTCCAGGAAGCCCAGTTGTTGATAGTAGGTTTTGGAGAAAATCTGGTGCCTGTGGTTTTTTTATTTGTGTGTCCTTGCTCATTATCCCTTTCAGACCTATTGGATTTATGGAGGAGAAAATATTTTAGAGTGTTTCCAGTCTTTCC